CGATCAGTTTTTTGCCAGCAAAGACCAAAAATTTTATGAGCGTGGAATTATGCTACTACCAGAAAGATGGCAAAAGGTGTTGGACCAGAACGGTCAATATATAATTTAATAAAGTATTTGTTTATTATACGAAAACTGTCTTTCATTTCCACAAAAAAAAAACGAAATGACTTTCCGAACAACCCAATAGATATATTAATATAGGAACGGAGCATGAAAAGGGTGGTGCAAAGCTTCTCAGGGAAACGTTGGTGGTGTCTAACGAGTAGCTAATAGAATCTAGACACCTACCACCACTAATTATGATTAAATTGGACAAAAATAACGATAGTTATTATTTATGGCTAATGCAGACGCAATTTATAAACCCAGTTTCGTATATTTTTGTAATGCTATAGGTATGCTACATATTTATTTTTCTTTTGTGTGTTATTCTCTATTCTCAACGGGTTCATTGCAATTTTCTTTTGTCGTTATTGATGAGAGAAAGTTTGTGTGACTTTCCAGGAGGACGTCGAGATTTATGGAGCGGGAAAAAGACGCTTTAATGGTCCGAGCGAATAGTCTCAAGAGGGCGATACGCAGCCTGGTGGAACACACCGAACAAGTGGTGGACGAGCAAAACAGACAATCAACGACCACCGTTCCCACGGTGAAAATTTCATTACTCGGCTCGTCCAGCATTGACAGGACCACAACGAAAAACATTCCAGATGGTACGTAATCACAATAAAACACCGACTTTACAAACAATCCACTTGTAGTTTTCTATTAAATGAAACCACGATTGTTACGCCGAAGTAAAGGGCAACTTTCCCGACTCCCTTATGAGAAATTTGTGAAGTTCAAAGGCAAACTTATACAATTTCGTAGAGTATTCCTGCTGTACTCGTGAAAAGCTATTAAATAAATCTAAGACATCACTGACCATATAGAACAAAACAACACTGAGAAACGGTTCATTATTTTATTTAAAATTGTTTTGGGTCTATTCCAGATTTAAAAAAAATAAAATAGTTTCATTCAGACGAATAATATAAATTCTTGGCCATTAGTTTATATTATTCGTATTCATTTCGTTTACCATCAAATATACAGGGTACTTTCCTATTTGAAAGTATAGTCTAGAGCCAGTCCGACCCTGGTAGGATCACGCAGAGAAATACGACATCGCAACGCCGCATTCAATCAGCTGCAGCATCCGTCTTGTACGAGTATTTCTTTTGTATTATGTGTTCTTAATACCATGTCGAGGTGTACTTTAAATATTACAGTATACTGTCAGCAATGAACAAAGTAGTTAATTAATTACTATTAATATTTGCTTTATTAGTTCTTCCACAATCGTCTTTACTTACATTTTCTATCGGTGTAGCTACTTGATTGTTATCGCTGTACGTTGCCATTCACGCCCAGGGCCGGCTTCGGATTGAAACTCTGCTCTTCTTACAAATTGTTTTGTCTCCTAGTCACACTGCTTTACACATCATGCAATTCCCTATTGGTTGTTTTAGAAACACCCTGTAACAGCTGCGGGGTCGATTTAGTTATGTGTTTTTGAATACCCAAGGAAAAATTACATCGGAAGGTTTTATAGTCTAACATGTTAGTCTGATATTTAAAAATGATAAAATCACAAAGTGCTGCTAAATTGTAGGGTGCATTATTGGGACCCGACCAAAATTGTCCTTTTTTTAATTTTTTCAAAATAGCTCGAAAATTAAGTAAGATTCAAGATACATTTTGAAATTGAATTCATATATTACAACGTATTTGATAATTTAATTTCTAGTAATCGAAATAATTATTGATACATTCGANTTCAGTTGTAAACAACTATTGTAGATTTGCAATAATAATCTGCTGTAAGTACTTATTTCTAGTAAAGATTTACGGCTGTTTACGACTTGAAATTATAGTAAATACATTGTTGGGCCAAACAGTTAAGCAGTTAGGGCGTGAAATCGTCGCAAACAAATTCACATTCGTATTTATAATATTACTTAGAATGGTTGGTTTCCATAGTTGTTTCTATTTTGTTTTCGTGAAAGGGGGGAAATCTTCATAGACATCCTGCCACCCATATGCCAACGATTTATCTGGGTTAAGGCGCCAGGCATCATATTAAGAAGAGACACTTTCATACGTATAAATATTTAGAAATAGCGCCCTCACCATATCACGCAAAAAGCGTGTTTCACAGTAATTTAGTAATATAATTTTCTAAATCTTAATTTTAAATTTTTCGTACTTATGCCTTGAATATATTTTAATCTTGAATAAAAATCAACTACAGTTCGCTCGCATTCAAAATATTGACAGTCGAAACGTCTGAATTAAATTTAAGAGTCTGATCCACGGAAAATTCAATTTTTTCCAGTTCTTTATGCAAACGCGCCAAAAAAAAAAGGAATATTAGGCTTGTATATGTCGAGCAAACTTTTATCGGCAAGCAGCAGCCAGCTGCTTTTCAAAGTAATAAAAGCCTGGAATCAGCGCGTCGTCTTCATATAACCGTAAGAGGCATTCACTCGTTACGAAACGTTATTTGTTCTGGAAAAATTCTGACATCTTTTCAAATACACACATCTCTCTTAAATATGTAACAGTTTACGCATTTATAGCTGTAGGAGAATATATATTATAAAACACTCATGCAAAACAAATGTTTGAAGGTTTATTAAATTTGAAGGAAAACGAAATATTCAATTTTTTACAGGAACATTTTAAAGATCTACTTGACTCGGAGCTCTGTAGGCACAGCATCTTCTCTAGCGTCAAAAATATGAAATATATGACGAGTTTTGTCAATTATGATTTTTGTTCGGGATAATATGAAAGCCCTTATCATATCATAATACCAAAAATTCAGACAATTCCGCTGACACCAATTTTTCGCAAGATACTTTGTCTTGTGATCCTTGAAGTAAGGTGCTATAAACATATAAATAATTCTATGTACGTTTAAAATGTGTTTCTCATTACCACAACACAAATTTCGCACTGTGTCACAACAGAAATCTGCGTTGTGGATTAGCTTGAGAAACCACAATATGTAGTGGTCGATTTTTACGATTCACGAATTTTGTCGACATTTGGACACAACATCTACATAACAATGGTCAAAATCTGTAGTTCTCTAGTAACTATTTATGAAAATATTAAGAAAAGATGAAATTCATATCCCTCCTGTAATGCTCAAGTAGTTTCTAAATTATTTTATTAAAAAGGATGCGTTGTGGCATTTTCTCATTACCACATTCATCATGCACAAATTTTTAAATAATCACAACACAAATCGCGTTGTGGACGTTTTAAATTTGCCAATATGCTCTACATCATTTTTGTGTCACAACACAAATTGTGCGCTGTGGATTAGTTTGAGAAACCGCAACGTATTGTGATCGATTTTTACGCTTAATGAACGCTGTCGGCCTTTGGGTATAACATTTACATTACAATAATCAAAATCTTTAGCAACTATTTATGAAAATATTCATGAAAGGTAAAATTAATTTCCCCTTGTTTCCTGTGGTACCTACTCAAACAATTTTCAGACTATTTTACTGACAAAATCTGCAAAATGTGTCTCTTGAGACTCGATTTTAATGCGAAAATGAAATTGAAAGAGACCTTTTTTTACAAAAGCTCATAGTTTTTATTTAAAAACGAATCCTCAAAATTTCCACTTACCTAGCTTGTTATTTTTATTTTTTTTTTAAAGAACCAAAATAGGAAAGCTTTATAAAAGGATTCGTTAGTGAATTTAGCACGTTTCCGTTGGTGTGTTAAATTTAGATTTATAAAAGGTGCAGTTTTTGAGACAAGCATTTTAAATTCTGTGAAAACAATGTTTATATTACTGTGTGCACTTTTTCAGTTGTAAACAACTATTGTAGATTTGCAATAATAATCTGCTGTAAGTACTTATTTCTAGTAAAGATTTACGGCTGTTTACGACTTGAAATTATAGTAGATACATTGTTGGGCCAAACTGTCGTAAAATGTCGATAAATTACAATTTATAACTGTAGATAATTGTGAAAGGGGAAAACTGAATAAAAGCTTCAAGTTCAGATAATCGAATTTTGCTATGCTGTCGATGTAATTCAATTAAACAAAATGTGAAAATGCAAAACTCAGAATTGTTAGGGGTAAATAAGGATTTTATTTATTGAGGAATGGTATTGATATCTAGTAAATGAATTTTACAGTCTGTATAAGTTACAGGTCCAGTAACAGATTTGTCAATGAATGTCTCAATTCTTCAGCTCATTCTCTATAATGAATTATTGAAAATATTAAAACAAGTTTACATGATAATATAAAAGTTGTTAACAAAAAATTAAACTGAAATGAACAAAAAAATATTAACATCACGCTGCAATCCAAGACTTCTTGCTGATTCAATCAAATGTACCATAATATTACGAGATAATTCCACATTTAAAAGAGCGTGGTGGGAAGACGCGCTACGACTCTTGCCGGAAAATTTTAAAAGCTTTAATTTTAGTTGCAAACAAGGAATAGAAATAACTGAGAAAGTAATCTATGTAATCTTCCCTTGAGGGTGACATCATTTCTCTCTGTCTTTAGAAACAGTGCCAAGTTGCAGTTCTTCCACTAGGAACGGGGAACGATTTGGCTAGAGTGTTGGGATGGGGTGCATCTTGCGACGACGACACCCATTTACCACAGTTGTTAGAGAAATACGAACGGGCTAGTACCAAGATGTTGGACAGATGGAGTATAATGACATTTGAACGTACAATCGCTATTCCAAAGTTATCGTTGGATACCACCCAACCTGAAGGTACCTTTAAAGAAACGAAAAAGAACAAAATAAATTTTAGTTGTTCTTAAATAACGATAAGCTTCGCACCTGTTTTGTAAGTTTTACATGATTGCAACGTCCTTTTAAATCGGGTCTCAACCGAACAAATTAAGATCTCAACAGTACAAATTTAATATCGATCTCGACCTTATACGTCGAGTTTTTCTGTTGATTTTGAATCTACGAAGTCTTGCCCTTAATGTACATTACACGTACAATCTTAGTCTTGATCTTATAAACATAATCTGGATCTTGCCCTTAGAGTTACACTTTTGGTCTCATTTTTCGATTTTTCAAACCAGGTCACCGTTTTGGCTTAGTCTAATGGTGTAACTGTTGTATTTCTTAGGTCAGTTACACAGCCAGATATGTCAGTACGAAGAATCGCTGATAAATCATTTACAAAACATTCTTCAATCGGACGAGACATCGGTTGTCCTGAATTCGGCGAAGAGATTGTGCGAGACCGTTAAGGATTTCGCGACGCAGGTGACTGAGAGTGGCCTGGCGCGAACGGACGACTCCCTCGGAAAGAAGTGCGAAGTTCTCCAGCACAAATTGGAACTGCTTATGCACACTCTAACAAGTGAGCAACTTGATCTGGATAAATTTGTCGCTTCTTGTGAAGATGCGACGGCGAAATGTAATAAGGATGACACCGAGAGCGAGGCGTCTTATGATAAGAGCAAAGTTGAGAAAGAATTGAGCAATTTCAATTTCCGACGGCACAGGTATGTACCTACATAATATCAATTGTAATAGCAAAGCGAATCATCAATGACCGTTATCAGTATAGGCTCGTCAATCCTAAAACTGCTTCGACACGTACATCCATTCTTTCCTATCCTGAGCTAATCTTCGCATTTTTAACTATTTGCGAACAGTAATCTAATCTAGGCCTACCTCTACCTCTTCAAACTCCCGTTTCTGCCTCTAATATGTCTTTGACTAGACCTTCATGCCTGTGCTATAAACATATAAATAATT